TGATACCACTTTAAAGACAAAGGTGCCCCTGATTCAAGCCATGGCCTTTTGATCACCTTCTGTCTCTGAGAGTTGGGACAATGAAGAAGGGGAACAGAAGAAGAATGGACACCTCTGAATTAAGGTGTTGGAGAAAAGTACTGAATATCCCATGGACTGTCAAAAGAACAAAACAAGCAAGTCATGGAAAAGGTGCAAGCAGGGAACTCCTAAGAGGCAAGGGTAGTGTAACTGTCTCATTTACTGGGGGCATGCTGTCGGGAGGGGCTAGTTCTTAGAGGGTCAGTGGAACAGAGGAAGACCCTCAATCAGATGTATTAACACAATGACAGTAACAATGGGCTCAGTATATCGGAGATAAGGACAGCACAGGACAGGGCAAGGTTCAGACTCAATGTTCACATGGACTCTGAGTTGAAGATGACTCAACGGCACCTAACAACAGGCTCCTCACAGCTTCAAAGCTGCAAGCCTTTGAGGATAAAATGCCACCTGGTGATAACCTTTGAGGGATGCTCTTCTACCACATGGAGTAGAAACATGGGCCTCGGAAGGTAGGATGTTGAAGGGAGTGCACCTCTCACTATCATAACCAGTGACTCACTTGGGAAATCTGCACTTTTTATCCTTTTGACTCTGGGCTCCTCTGCTTTAAAAATCTTAGTATCTTTCCAAAGGAAGACTGCCCATTTTAGTTTCCTATTACAAATTGTACCACCATGAGAGGCAATGAGAAGGCAGGATGTTGGCAGGGGTCCTAAGATGACTTCCTGGTTGAAATTCCAAGAAGTGCACAAAAAAAAACTGGGAACAGAAAACCTCAGCCTCAGGATTCCAGAGGAGAAGAGGAAGATGCTGTAGGAAAGATAAATTGAAAAATGAAGAAGCAACTCGTAGTCAACAGTCCCCAGACGTAGCACAGTAAAGGGGGCTTACTCAGTATTTTGGAGTCAATGATCGATCTGACCTTGTGAAAAAGAAAAAGATTGACAAGTTGGGTCTTGAAAAGAGAACAGACCAAGCTGTGGATGTGGAATACTTAGAAGGCCAAGGGGCTCAGCAACCAGGTGGCTATGCAAGAGCTTGGTGTGAAAACTGCCAAAGGTAATGCCTGCCACAACTTAGTAAAAATCAACAAGGATGCTGAAAACTCACAGGTTGTTCGAAAAAAGAACTTGCATGGGGATTTGAAGCAAAGAGATGAAGCCAAAAGCAACATGGGATATATCTAACTTGCCAGGGTTCTTCATGATCTTTCTAGACTCCCAAGAATGCAATTTACTGAGATTTTTCTGACTTACACTTAAATATACCAGGAAACTGAGAGTAGTGGAAAAATTAAGCATAAAATTTGAGAGTTGATTATCAGATCTTTCAATGTATTTTTCTAAGGCGCGTATCCTACTGAAGCAGAGCATTGTGTTACAGGTATAAGAATGTAAACATATGCATGGAAAGGAATGGCAGAATTCATTTCTGTCTGTGTGTAGACCTGGACTATGAAGTCAGCTCTACTTCTTATCCCTTTGGTGGAGCCCCGTCATACTTTCTTGTCTGTTCTCAGTTTAACACCACCACTGTTGGGAGTTTGGCTTTAAAGATGGTATTTGTTTACAATGGATTGGTCATAAGTGCTCAGGGAGTCTCACTTGATACTTGTCTTTCACCAATGACTCTGATTACTTTAGTGTTACAAAAATCATTACTGACTCTTTATTAGGAGGCAGCAGAGTTGGTATTTCATAGTTACAAGGTAAAAGAAATTTTTGTGTACCTGTAGATAAAATATTTCAATAAAAACCATCACAGACTGCAAAAAACCCCAACGAAAAATAGTATCACCATGAATATAAAAAAGATAAAACTTTTCCAGCTATAATTTAATTAAACAGAATTTGCAGACTTTCTTAAGAGAAATATTTTATGAAAAAATGAACTACAAAACAGTGAAAAAAAAAATCTAATGTTAATAGTGTCTTGATATATCTGAAATTCTAAATATTTTGGGGAGACTACCAAGAGGAAATAACTGTGAAGAATCTATTATGTCAAAACTTAACATGTTGTTGTTATGTGATGTGTTATTATGTGATGTGTTGTTATGTGACTCATAGCGACCTTGTGTACAACAGCCCTAAACCCTGCTCTATCCTGTACCAATCTTACTGTCTCTTACCCCCATTACCCAGTCACTGTATCAAACCATCTCATCGAGGGTCTTCCTCTCTTGTGCTGTCCCTCCACGTTCCCAAACACGACATCTCTTTCCAAGGACTCCTTGCAACATGTCCAAAGTATGTCAGACAGAGCTTCAGAATCCTTGCTTTCAAGGAGCAGGCTGGTTTCACCCTTTCTAGGATGAACCTGTTTGTTCTCCTAGCCATCCATGGTATATTCAATATTCTTTTCCAGCACCACAGCTCAAAGGCATCATTTCTCCTTCTATCATCCCTAGTCAATGTACAGCTCTCTGATGCATAGCAAGTAATTTCCCAATGCAATCTATTTTTTGATTTCCTGGCTGCTGGTACCAAGAATGTTGATTGTGGAGACGAGCAAATTAAAGCTGTTACAATATACTTATTAACAGTCTACAAATAAAAGCCCATTTTTTTGGGTGCTTGAACAATAAATTTATTGTCTTTATCTGAAAAATCTTCACAGAAAATTGGTTTAGTTATCAGCAGCGCGCTCCTGAGCTCTGAGGAAGCTTGTCTTCTTCTGAGCTACCGGATCTTTCTTCTGGGCAAGAGACATTTTGGGGCGATTCCACCTCTTCTTTGTAACATCCTTCTATGGCAGCATGTGCTTTCTTATACATCTCCATCATGTCTGGAGCTACACTGTTCTTCATGTATTCAGAGAACTGTTTTTTTTTTTAATTTTTAAAAATTTTTATTGTATTATTTTTACGTGTACTGTCAAATAAGATCTGACTGGCACAGGAGGAGATTGTCCCCTCCTTCTCCAGCAGAGCATCAGGTGGATTTGAACCGCGCACTTCTGGGATTGCAGTGCAGCGTCTTGCCACTAGGGCACCAGAGCTCCCTTGAGAGAGCTGTTTCTTATTAGCATCTTCATCCATTAGGTAACGCATATAATCTGTAACATTCTGACCATGATGTGTTTCCAATGTACTTCTGCATTGAATTCCTTACTTTATGAATTATAACCAGGGAATCGCTTGGTACTATGAGGAATAGACAAGCCTCCATCCACAGCTCCCTTCAGAGCCCCAACACTTCATTTCCTATGGTAGTACCGGCAAGGCCTGCATCCAAATAGCAGGTGAAGGCACCTGGTTGGCCATCAATGCTTTCCACATTGTATTCATCTCCAGTTACCTCCATTTGGCCTTCACAGATCTGATCCATGCCAATCCTATTGAGAAGCCTGCGGGCCAGCAGCAGGCCAGTACAATATGCTGCAGCATAATTTGTCAAGCCAACTTTCACACCATACTTAGGAAGTTCATGAGCACAGGCTGTGCAGACTATCATTTCCCCTTCTATACCGGCATAAGCAATCTGGCAAATTATATCTCTGTTGGTTACCCGAACTATCATCCTGTATTTAGGTGTGCGGTACCTATTTTTATCCTGAATTACCAAGCGTTTCCGAGTATAGTAATCAGTTTTACCCTCGTGTCATCTTCTAAATTTCACTTGGTATCTCTTGAAGTAGGCCTTATTCTGGACAACTTTAATAAACCCCATCTTGCCAGAGACAGGAGTCCCCAGCTCGCCCAAATAAAAGCCACTGTTATAGAATTAAGCTGATAGTTGGTAAAAAAACTCAAACCAAATCTTTAATTCTAAAGCCTCTCATTAGCATTTTTATATTAATAAGACCATATTGCTTTTTAAAAAATTTATTACATTTCTTTTTGTAGTAATGTCCTACTGGTAGCAAGTAATACCGATTTTCAATTCTGAGTGTTGACATATTTTTATTTTATTTTACATTAGTTTGCTTATGAAGTTTGTATACACTGTGTTTCAAACTATTCTTCATTCACATTTTATTTCATACAATCATTCCCATTCATTATGTTTTATAAAATTCATTATCATTGGACTCTGCTGACCATTATCTTGTCTTTCCAGATCCCCACCATCATAAGAACATGGAAACAACCCAAAAAGGCAATCACAACTGAATGGATTGAGAAACCATTATACATTGACACAATGGAATAACGTGCAACACTCAAGAGCAATCATTTCGAAAATTACTGCATAACTTGGGAGAGACTGGAGAATGCTATGCTGAATGAACCAATGCAGTCTCAGAAGGACAAATACTGCATTAAGACCATTATTGTAAAAATAGAAAGATAACAAGTAAAATAGGTATGGGGACCCAAGGGGGTAAGGGGTGAGAACGCATAGGGGTGAAATCACAGGGTTGCACAATTTAGTGAGGAGTAGGGGCGGAAATGGAAAAGAACACACCATGCTTTTGCATGACTGGGTGCCTTTGTAGACACCTGCTGTTGCCATGCCTCCTTATCTACGTGGAACTCTCACTGCTCCTAACCTAGCTTAGGTGTGACCTCCTCTGAGAAGCCTTCAGTTAACAATCGTTTTCATCACACCTTCATCTTCATCAGAGAAAATGATGCACATACTCTGCACATACTATTCTTACTGCATGTTAGTAGTGTATATCCAGGGTCTGCCTGAATCACACAGCTTCATATCTAGAAATAGAAAAACCAAACTGCTCTCAAGGTGATCAAATACAAAAGGAGAAAAAAAGAAATAAAAAAAGAGATCACATGGATTAGATTACATTGTAAAGTATGATGTAAACAAAGAATAAATTCTGCTTCTCTTACAACTTGCTTTGCTCTGTCAGTCTATTTCACTCAAGACCATAAAAAAAAAAGTACAATTGTGCACAAAGGTGCTACACATTGGAATGGGTCACCCCCTTCTTTCTAGTGCACATGTAAATGATACTAAATATTTCAAAATGAATTCACATCAATGACTTACCAAAGTGTCTGATTTTTTGTTCATATTTCTGCATAAAAGATTTTGATTTATCTTCATCTTCTGTTTCTTTTCTTTTATCTTGATTAATAAAACTCTTAAGAGAAAAATTGGAAATTAACATCAGATTTTATAATCTAACAGAATCTTTTTCAAATTATAAATGCTGAGTAAACATTCCAATAAACATCATAAAAAGGTAACTATTATATTGACACTACATTATTATGGTTAAACTTTTTATAAAAACGTTTTTACTAAAGTCTGGTTATGGTAAGTTTTCTTTAAAATTACTTATGTGAGTGAAGTACAGAATTTCTAAAGAAATTGTAGATAAAAACACCTCACTTAACCTCTGTGTTCAATGGAAGCTCCCTTCAAATGTGGTTCTAGAAGGAACCTTCACATGTATAATACACGTCCTGCCATATTCTTTTACACTAATTCAGACTAATGGCTGACTTCTGAGACTGTAAATCACAACAGGACGAGAGGACCCATCTTTCACCTGAGGAGCACTAGTGGATTTGAACCACCAGAAAGAGAGTCTTTAGGTCAGCAGAACGACGTACTATGGATTACTCTATCAGAGCAATTCTGGCATAATTTTGAGAGCTCTTACTGGAAATAACCATAAAAGTTCAAAACACAAAGAGGATGATAAAGTGTATTTACTATAAATACTCTGAGAAGGCTGTAAGGGAAAATACATCTTTACAGTGTTTTTAATAAATTTTTCTTAGGAGAAGCAAAACTGTTCAATTCGAAAATAAATTATAAATTTTGTTAAGAATTCCTTATTTTCAGTTAACAAAGACATAAAAAAGACCAAAACAAGTTTTTATCTGGCCAGAAAAACAGGCAGAATAGTTTTCCAGAACATTCTGTAATTGCATTTACATCCTGAGAACATGACTGCCAAAATGAAAATTGCAAACTAGCTTTTTGCTAGTTTATAACCACGAAGTACTCAAAAGTTTATATATTTAAAAATAAAAGCACGGTTCGAATCCACCAGATGCTCTGCCGGAGAAGGAGGCACAATATCCTCCTGTACCAGTCAGATCTGATTTGACGGTACACACACACAAAATAATAAAAAAAAAAAAATAAAAAAAAAAAAAATAAAAGCATTTTTTTCTTTTCTCACTTACATTACTACTATCCAACAGAAACAGAGGCAGTTCCCTGGGTTATGAGCAAAAGTCTAATTTATAGACAACCTCTACTGGCCCTTTGATGTAAATTTGTCTTCACTTTGAAATGCTTAAAACAACCCCTACTGGCAAGAAATTCTTCATCAGAATTACCTTCACTTGCTGCAAATACAGCTTTAAAATCAATGAAATAGCTTCAAAGCCTTTTCCTGCACCAATGTCAGGCTAAATAAGAACTTAACACACCTGTTCATACTTACTTACCTATTCCTAAAGACACAGTAAAGAGATTTATACTCTGAGAACTATCTGTATAAGCCAAGCCGCAAACATAATGTAAAAAATAAAAAATGAAATTAATTTTAATAATTTCATTTAATCCAATATACTCAATAATTAGAATTTCAAAATGTAGAAAATATGGACCAATTGTTGAAGCCTAGTGTTTACTTCACACTTCATGCACTCCTCAGTGTGGGCCAGTCACATTTCTAGGGCTCAAAAGCTCCTGGCGTTAGGAGCTAGCCACGGAAAGCACTAGATCCGATCTAGACCACTCCTTCCAATGCTTACATTCCGACAAAATATCCGCATGACTGTGAACAAGTCACTGGAATACAAAGAAACCAAACGATCTGTAGAATAAGTCTATCTCTGAATCTAAGAAAATAATTAAGAGCAGAAATGTAATGAAAATATTTGCTTCATTACCACTTCATTAAAGTGTGTAAGTAAATCAAATAAAGAAGCATTATTCAGATAAAGAATGAGCCTATTGTGGAAGAGGAAAAAGAAAAAGTTTAGAAAGATATGATTCATCAACAGTGGTAATCTTTAAAATAAAAACAAAACAAAACAAAAAAAAACAAACAGTGGTAATCTTTGGGAAATAAAATCACAGGAGAGGAATATTTCAATTTTTACTTTACATAAATTGTTTTGCATTGCCCCCCAATAAGCATGTTGTAATCTAATCCTTTTTTTAATTGAGATTTTAAGTTTATAAAAAACTTGGATTTCTATTCATTGTTGTAAATTTTCCTCCCTACCCCTCCCCTTTTTTCCTTTGGAAAAAAGTGCTTTCTTTGTTATACAGTCCTCCCTACCCTAGACCACTTTACTATGCAGCTCTTACTCTGGACTCTCGTACCAGTAATACCTAATCATATATTCCTTTTATACAGTTCTCTCCCTTGTCTGTTTCAATGCCGTGTACATTACTTATCCCCTTTTTTCTTAGTTTCTCCCAACCCCCATTTCAGTCCTGTTTTATAACAGTGGCACTATGCAGTATTTGTCTTTTTGTGACTGAGATATTTCACTCAGCACAATGTCCTCCATGGTCACCCATTTTGCATAATATTTCATGAGTTCTTTGTTTTTCAGTGCTACAGAATATTCCATTATGTGAATATACCACAGCTAACCAAGGACTATAAACGTCATTGGAGAAAAGCTTGGAAGAACCCTAGAACACTAATCCACAACATGAACTGTCTTCCAAGCATCCTGAAAATCCTACAACCAGAAGAGGATAAAATAGATGAATGGGACCTTTTAAGAATCAAATCCCTATGCAGATTCAAAAACTTCTCAAAAAGGGTAAAAAGGGAAGCCACAGACTGGGGAAAAAATATTTGTTAATGACATGTCTGATAAGCGTCTTATATCTAGAATTTACAGAATACGCGAATGCCACAACAAGATAAACAACTCAATTGCAAAATGGACACAGAATATGGACACTTCAACAAAGACGACATTCAGATGGCGAACAAACACATGAAGAAATGTTCAAAATTCCTAGCTCTAACAGAGATGCAAATCAAAACAATTAAGAGATATCATCTCACCCCAGTGAGAATAGCAAAATTCAACAGAGCAGCAAACAACAAATGCTGGCGAGGTTGTGGAGAAACTGGAACCCTTATTCACTGTTGGTGGGAGTGTAAAATGGTGCAACCACTATGGAAGGCAGTACAGCACTTTCTCAAAAAGTTGGAAATAGAAATACCATTTGACCCAGCAATTCCACTACTAGGAGTATACCCCAAAGAAACCAGCACTGCCACCCAAGAGGATATATGCACACCCATGTTTACCACAGCTTTGTGCACAATAGCAAAGAGTTGTAATCTAATCTTAGGGAACTTTGGAGGCTTAGTGGTAAAGAATTGCACTGCCAGCCAAAGGCAGCAAGCAGTTTGAAGCCACCAGCCATTCTGCGAGAGAAAGATGGACAATCTCCTTTCATGTGATTTATAGCCTCTGAAAACTCAAGGGTCAACTAACTATGAATGAGTCTATTCTGACTGACAGTACCTAACAACCACAATTCTATCTCATAGAGTTTTTCACTTAAATAAGGAAGAAAATACTGGTCAGGCTAGTTGTGAGGGACATTTACCTATGTGTATACTGCCTGATCCGGTGGCCTAGTGGCAAGAAGATGCACAGCAATCCAAGAAGACACGTTGTTTAAGGCCACCAGCTACTCTGTTGGAGAAGGATGGGCAATTTCCTCCCATGCGATTAACTGCCTCTCAAAACCCACTGGAGGGACAGCTATGGGTCACTTGCAACTTGATGGTACATAGCAACATCACACGTTGCCTGCTAGGGGAAGGCTAGTAAGAGTAACCGGGAGAGTGGGTGTTGGCAAAACAGACACATGTACAGTAAGGATGAAAAGTTGAGAGAAATGATGATGGTTATGGATTAAGTGAATTTGGACTTCAACAAGGATGAGCAGTCTGTCCCTCCTGTTTTAATATATACAACATTTGTTGTTATGTTCCGTCATCTTGCTTGCGACTCAAAGCGACCCCATGTACAACAGCCCTAAACCCCACTCTATCCTGTGCCAATCTCACTGTGTCCGACACACCTATCCCCAATTACCCTAGTCACTGAATCAATCCATCTCATCGACGGTCTTCCTCTCCTGCGCTGTTCCTCCACCTTCCGAAGCCTGACATCCCTCTCCAAGGCTGGTTCTTCCTTGTGACATGTCCAAAATATATCAGACAAAGCTTCAGAGTCCTTGCCTCCAAGGACAGGCAGGTCTTACCCTCTCCAGAACGAACCTGTTCTCCTAATAGTCCATGGTATATTCAATACTCTTTACAGCACCACAGTGCAAAGGCATCAATTTTCCTCCTATCATCCCTGGTCACTGTAGAATACAATTACATAATTTCATTCCACTTAATAATACTACTACGTAATGATAAAAGGAGCTCTAGTGGTCTAGTGGTAAGAAGTGCTGCAATCCCAAAGATATGCAGATATGCGGTTCAAATCCACCAGATGCTTTGAGGGAGAAGGATGGGCAGTCTTCTCGTGTGTCATTTATTACCTCTGTAAACCTGCTGGAAGGTCAGCAGCGAATAAGTTCCAATTCGAGAGCACACACAACAACAATTAATAATTAGGCTTAGCTATTTTCCCTCCTCTTCAAACATCATATTTATCTCCAGAAACCCTAGTTCCTGTGTGTAAAAGACATGTGTAAAACTTGATGTCATGTGAAAGCAGCAGTAGGTTTTACAAGGCTACCTAGGACATCTGCCACTGTTGTCTCATTCTCATTCTCAAAAGCAGCACAAAAAGGAGATTCAATAGCTTTCTTTTTTTCTTTTAAAATTTTATTTTATTAATTTTAATGAACATTTACAGAGATTTTGGATTTTCATTCATTCACTGTTGTACTTTTTAAGATTCAATAGCTTTCTTAACCTTAGTCTCTCAATGCTTCAGTAAGGAATTTCCTCTACCACCTTTATCAAGTCACTCAAGTTTTTTTAAAAATAGTAACATAGACTATAAGTAGTTATCACTAAAGCAAGGGGCACACAGGTGATGCCAAGAGATAAAACAACAGCTTCAATTTAGATTTTTATCTCACCTTATACATGCCTAACTTTTGTATTTTATAATGTACAGGAGTATAAGCACATAAACAATTACTCGAGACAGGTCAATAAAAACTGGAGTCTGTAACCTACAGCAGTTTTCAACCTTTGACTATAATTTAAGAAACATTAAGAATCAGGGCTTTGAACTTTATTCATTTGACCCTTTACTGAGAATTTTCATTTCCACTATAGATATATATTGAATCTGCACATTAACAAGATTCTTACATATACTTAAGAATCACCTGAGGATCTTATAAAAACATCCATTCTGCTTCAGGGTGTCTGGATGGAAATACAAACTCTGAGCAGGGGATCTGACCTTCACACCCTGGCATATACATCCCAAAAGCACAAGCCCAACAACAATATCAGATTCATCTTTTCTATTCCATTTTTTTAAAAGCTACTTGGAACGCATCACATTGTTTTACACCCAGCGTGGGTCAATGTAGCCTAACGAACACCACTGTTCCATGCTCTTCCAGCAATTTAGGTCCTTTTACTGTTTACATGGAACAATCAAATAATGATGTCTATACAGTGTAGTGAAAAACAAAGCAAAACTTACAAAGACACCAAGTCCCTGGCAAAAGTTTTATACTATTAAGTGACAAAAGGGATGTAATCATTTCTAAAGAGTTCTTTCAGTTACAAGCTTATACAACGAAATCTAGATTTCTACCTGAGGTTTACTGAATATAGACTATTGAAAACAACAAAACTTTGTTTTATTTAGAAATCACTCATAATATGAACGAGGACAGGGTTCAGATCTGCTGTTCACTGTGTTGCTGTGAGATGTACTTGACTTGATAGCACCTAACAACATACTATAATATGAAAAGCCTCATGTACCAGGTCCCACCCCATTTGCTTTCGGAACATTAATTAATGAAAATCTTGACACTCATCCTAAAATGACTTTTGCTTTATAGTTGCCAGAACTGAGACTTAAGAGCCAGAACTGAGGTTGAAAGCCTAGCCATTAATTTGCCCAAGGTCACAACCTCAGTGTCTCCATTATCAATACGGCTCCAGCTCAGTGTATGTAAATGTGTGACATGCAAAGATGGAGGATTTTTTCCTCCCTGTATTCAAACGATTCACTGGCTCTTTTTTAAATTTAGAAAACATGATCATGGAAATAATAACAGCTAAGGCTTAGTGATGAGCTCATCATCGCTGTGATGAGTCCAGTTAGAAATGATTCCTCTGTGGACTAGGACACCTAAGGGAGACAAAGCTGTGTGAAGCCTGGCTGTATGCTTTACCACTTTACCTTTCTTGTACAGGGTCACTGCTCACTCCTACGCCTTTAGGACCTGCATTCCCCCTCCAAGGAGTCTGCTCTGCCCTCCAGGCCTGGTAAAAATTAGGCTTAAGACTTCCTGAGAGGTCACATCTGGTTCCAAATGCAGCAAGCAGCTTCAGGTCCAGTCTGGCTCACAGTAGGATGTCGTACTCTATAGTAATGTTGAGCCTGAAGATGCACAAGAGTTGGGAACCCTGAAGAGGTATCTGCTGGCTTAGTACTGCCTGTGTCTGTCTATTCACATGGCAGCTGGATGTGGCACCCACCAACAGACGAGAGCGAAACAGAGGACAAACAGCCCCGCTTCCCAGAGGTCACCCAGAGACCCTCCTCTAGGGAGGGAGTCCACAGTAGCTGTCACCATGCCCACTGCCTTGTTAATGCTCCAACTGTTAGATTTTAAAATTAGTTATAAATGCAAAATGTCAAATAATGAGATGGTCAACAGGTGAGGAGTCGGTGTATTTTGGGACAAAGGAAGGCAATCTCCTCTCCTGCAATTTACAGCCTCAGAAATCTAAAAGAGGTTAAGTCTGAGTTGGTTCCCACTCGATGGCAATGAGTGAGTAGGGTGTACTTGGGATTAAATACCAGCCACACTAGACCCTATTAGAGATACTGGTTTCCTAACAAGCACTTTTTATATAAAATTCTACACAGCTGACCATGCAAAAAGGGATCACATTAGAAGGTCTTGGATAGAGCGGAAGAAAGTGTGGTCAAAAACCTAAAACTGGCCAGGCTCACTTGCCCAACAGAGACTGGTGGGACCGCTGAGAGTGCAGCCTTTAGTCACCTTTCCAACTTGGAGTAAAACTCACCACCTGGCTCAGCCTTGAGCTGAACAATAAACAGGACCATACTGTGAAGAGGAACCTGGAGGGAGGCACTCATCCCTTAGGATAGCCAATCATATAAGATCCAAAGGACAGCATTTGCCCAAGGGTAAAGCCTAAAAGGCAAGAAGGGGCAGGATAGGAGGATTAATGGCAAGTGACAATCAGAGCAGATGAGGGAAAGTGTAATCCTACTGGAGATATTGAAATTAATGTAAAAAAACCCAAAATGCAGATGACTGACTGAACGGAAAACCAATCTGCTTTGGGAACTTTCACTTCCCCACACTTTAAAAATCAGCAGCACATACCCCCTATTAAAATAGTCTGCAGGATTCTGTTTTGCCAACCACGCACATGTCATTCAGACACACCATTCCAGCAGCTTTTCCTTCTCTCACTATGGCCCAATCAGGGGCTTTACCTTATTAAAAACATCCTTGCTGATGGCATCTGTGTTCCACAGGCACATTCTTTCTCTCTGCAGCAGCGCCGCCTCCTTCTGCCTCCATTCCTCTTCCCGCTGCCTCAGTTCTGATACGGCTGTTTGTGCTTTGGCGTGTTCCTGGTCCAACGACTCGGAGTTGTGCAGTGCTAAGCTACCCAGTTTCTGCTGCGCTTCAGCGAGATTCCATTTGCACGCCACGGAACTCTTCACAAACTCTTTTTGCTTTTGGCAAGCCAGTTCAATCCCGTGGCTATAGATCTGGATGAAGAACAAAAGTCTACTTGTAAGAAATGAAGACAGCAAATGATGTGTTTGTGCAGCGGGGCCCACTTTTCCAACAATTCAGTTTTCTTTTATTCAAAGCCTTTCTGCAGGAGGGTTTTGGTACACAGTGTATCCTGCCCCCTGTGTAGTTACATTTTTATCTTACAGGTCTTATTTCATTATAGAGACTCCCAGCTTCTTTGTTAATCTGTGTCCCTTCCCCCACAGCAAACACCAAAACAAAAAGCCTGGCAACTAGCACACGGTCTTCTTGTATACAGGCAGTGCTCAACAAACATGACTTCGTCATCATGATCCTCACAGAGCAGAATAACGAAAACAAATGCTTCTACCTTTTCAATAGATCCCTATGCAACAATGAATACTGGGCCTTTAAAACTGCATTCTACAAGTCTGCAGTGCAAGGAACCCTTTGTTTAGAAGTAATGCTTTATTCATTTCTGTTTTCTTTCTGTATTATATACCAGTTCTTGGTAATTTAAGAAGTTTTGTTGGAAATTTCCATCCACAGCTATCGAAGATCTTTAACTTAATCCTAATAAAAATGGCCAGCTATTTAAAACCAACCAATCAACCACATGCCAGCTAGCCCACTTTGGTAATTTCGCTCCACCAAAAGCAGTGTTACTGTTTCATATTTACTGATATGTGGTTCCTTACATTCCTGGCTCCATCAAACAACAACAAAAACAAAACCCAACAAAAATCTAAAGGCACATTCTTTACAATTTCTTACCCAAATGGTAGATCAATTTCAAACTACTTATTCAGAGTAATTTCTCTGGGATCTCTTCTCTCGGCTGCTACTACTGCCTGAGTTCAAGTCTTTATAATCCACCTCTACAAATAAGGACAGCATTTCTTCAGGCCTCCCAAGCCATTCTGAAACCAACAAGAGAACACTGCTTCTGGTGAGGCTTTAAAAGAAAATGAGCCAGTGACTGTACAAAGGAGGAAGGGTGAGGGTATATATATAGCAGTGGCAAGGACCTATCTGAACCTTGTTCAAATGTTTGGAAGGTGACAGAACTTACACCTGATCAACTTGGATATGTGGTTCAGGTAAGGTCTTAAAAAGGCTACAGTTTACCTTGTTTGAAAGAGATGAACTTAAAAATAAACACGTGAAGATTTAGAAAATTCCATTATACAAACTCAAACTCAGGTCACAAGTCCTGGAATTATCATCAATGATGTGGCTATACAACCTTTCTGAGTTGTACTGCACCATGACTGATGGATCTTAACCAACTACCACATGAGAAAACTCATCAGCTTAGACTGAAGCAAAGAACTGAAGGACAGGATGCCAGCGACCTTGTGAAGTCCTACAAGCGGGAAACGTGTCTAATAAGAAACATCCACTGTCATCCAGGAAAAGAAAAGGATGGTCCCTGGCAGTTCAGAGATCAGCCTACTGAGAAGCAGGGCTGCCTGCTTCAGCTGCCAAGGCTGGAGCCACAGGTTCAAGAGTCAACTCTTCCCCACAGTTCCAGAGTGTGGGGCGTGTCAGGAAGGGAGTCTGGAACCCCATTCAGAGCGGAGGTAGTCAGGCTGTCCAAGGAAGAGAATGGGTCAACTGGGTCCACTCAGATGGATGAAGAGAATGAGGTAGCCAAAATGGAGGGAACAGAGTTGCCTGTGGGTCTAGAAATTGTAGCTTAAGCCCAGAGTTGAGGAGCTTCTACCCAGAATGCAAAGGGAGTAGGCGACAGCCAGAGTTCAGAGGGCAGAAGCACTGCAGAGGGTCTTGAAGGAAAGGATTCTTTTCAGGTTTTGAGAGTAAATAGTTCTGATGAATTCTGGACTTGCTTATAGTGTTGGTATTCCTTCTTTGCCTTCACATGCTCTTTTGAAGGAAATTTCTACCGTGTGCTGCTCCACCACTGAACTCTGGAAACATAACTTGCAGTCCAGACTTCCCAGACTCACGGATGGAGAAATTCTGCCCCAGGATAGAATCTGCCTAAATCTCAACTCTATTTAATTTTAATGATGCAGATTAAATTAGAGTGGATTTAAGACTCCTAAATATTATAGTCTTCATTATGGCTTGAAGCTCAATATCAAGTAAACAAAGATTCTCACCATTGTGCCAACTAGCAGCACAATGATAGATAGAGATTGAAGTTGTTAACAATTACAGCTTGCTCAGCTCCACAATCAAAGACTCTTGGTACCAGCATCCAGGAAATCTAAAGTCTGTATCAGGCACCTCTCCAGAATGCCAAATGATAATGATGTCATTCTAGGGACGAAGATGTGCTGAATCCAGGCCATGGTCTTCACAATTCCTTGCTATGCATCAGAGAGCTGGACAATGACTGAAGATGACAGAAGAATCGATGCCTCTGACTTGTGGTGCTGGAGAAGAGTATTGAACATACTATGCACCACCAAGAAAACAAACAAGTGTCTTGGAGAGAGTGAAACCAAGTTTCTCCTTGAAGGCTAGGATTTTAAAGCTTTGTCCCACATACTTCAGGCATGTGACCAAGACCAGTCCTTGGAGAAGAACATCATGCTCAGAAGGGTGAAGGGAAAGCACAGAAGAGGAAGACTCCAGGTGAGATGGACTGACAGTATCTGGGTACAAGGGGGTAAGTATGTCAGGATGAGTGAGACTGGCTCAGGACAAGGCAGGCTTCAGAGCTGCTGTACATAGAGTTGCTATGAGTCACAGGCGACTCAATGGCACATAACAATAACAAGGATAATCTGATGGGGTAAATGTGCTATATTCCATAGGAATATGGAGCAAGGATATTAATGAATTTTGGGGGTTGAAAGGGTGGCATGTTATGCGTTGGATTGTTACCCTTAACAACACTGGGTTATATGTTGTTGGTGTTAAGTGCCGTAGAGTTGCAGACAACAAGGAGCGACCCTGTGAACAGAGAGAACTTCACACTGGCTCATTCTAGTCTGACTCCTTGCTGGGAATCTGCTTTTTCACAGCAGGTCTAAATTACAATTCAGGCTCTAACAAGATTTCTAGGTGGTTTTTACAGATTTTCTTGTAAACACTGGTTATAAATCTGTGGCCTGCTCAGCAGAGAGGCCCGAGCAACCAAAGGGCAGCTTCTCAGGCATTTCAATCCTCCTGCAATTTATAGCTTTGGGAATTGCTGGAGGGTCAGCTCTGTGTACATCACCACTTGAAAGCAATGAGTTTATCCCTGTAGTTATAATCTCATTTGAACTGTCTTTGTTATGGTAATAAAATAGTATTTATATAGGATGTATTTTATGTCTTTTCATACATAAAAGAGATTAGTCAGCAAGAAAAGCAGATGTGAGGAGAGAGAGATGTCAAGACACATGAGATCGTCGAGGAGCCAGCAAACAAGAGTTAAAGAAAGAGAAAGTCACAGAATAAGTAAAAAGAAATAGTCTTTTCTAGAGTTGGCACCCTGAATTTCAATGCGTAGCCTCCTAAACTATGAGGAAATAAATTGAAGTTAAAGTGCATTTGTGGAATCTGCATTACAGCAGCACTAGGTGAGTACACTAATCAGTAAAATATTTTCAATTTTTTATCATATAAAAAGTAGGATCAAGAATAACTGTATACTAGCTAAGCATCACAAAAAGTCAAAACAAAAGAAAATTTAAGCCGTAAAATTTATTTTCTTAGAAGTGACAAAGATATATCAAGAAACGGAATATGGATAAACAGAAATATGGTGTATTTTAAAATACACAAGAGTGAGAGCAAATATTTCATTTCCAAATCAAACACAAAAACTTTACCTCCAAATTATGATCTCCAGAAACTACTTATGTTTAAAATCTTCTCCACTGACTACCTGGACAATGCTCAAGCATTTGGACAAACGCTCCAAAGTATATTTAGATGATTCCACACAATAAAGTAATGTTTCAATCTACGTACATGTTGTTGCTGTTATGTGCCACCAAGTTGGAACCAACTCACAGCTCATGATCCAGTAAGTTTTTGGAGGCTATAAATTCCTAGAGAGGAGACTGCTCTTTTTCCTCCCAGGGAGCTGCTGGGGGATCCAAACTGCTTCCTTTGTGGTTGGCAGTGTAAATACTTATTACCATGCGCTTACTGACATTTTAGAAGTGGAACACAGACTCCTTATAAATGGAATTTAACATTTTATTTTCCCAAATATTAAAATTCAAAATCTAAAGTTCTAAGAGTCAAGAAGAAAAATTAGCCCTTTGCTTAGGTTAACACAGGAAATCTTAATTAGTAATCACTTTGCAAAGGCTATGAGTCTCTGGTGGTCTGTATCCACCAGCCGCCTGGAGGGAGAAGGGCAGTCATCTTCGGTCACTTTTATGGCCTCAGAAATTCAATGAGCCGGAACCAACTGGAGGGGAGGCAGTGAGGTTTTGGGGGATGTGTGGGTTTCTGCATAACCATGAAACCGTATGTGTGTATGGGTGTGCATGTGTATATTTTTCTGCATACTTTACCACTGAACCGTGTGTGTGTGTGTGTGTGTGTGTGTGTGTGTGTGTTTCTGCATAGCCATTAAACCCTGTGTATGTGTGTGTGTTTCTGCATACTTTACCACTAAACCTTGTCCAATAAAGTTTTACAGCACTTCCCAGACAATGCAGTTGGGAGAAAGAAAAGTACTGTATTAAGCATCAGAAACTCTAGTTTTAGTTCTGCCACTAAGTAAGGCCCTGGGTATCAATTTTAATGAAGGAAACATGCCTTTTTGCTGTAATTCCTTTCACCTGTCCTTTCTATGCATATCTATTATATATGCTGTGGTCCCAATGCACAAGTAAAAATAATATAGAAATATTTTTTTCTCCAGTGACTTCTGTGATTCACTGACATTCCTGAGGTTGGTTTTTTCCCCCCTTCTACGCCTTCAAAATTGAGGGCAGCAGCTGCGGAGCCTGCCTGCCTTGCTCTCGGGAGCACTGCGCGTGCTGCCTTTTGTGCACGAAGATGATACTACTGCTCCATAATTAGGGGTGACTACTGGCCTCCTGGTGCACTCTTCCAGCGGCTGGCTGGAGCACAGTGTGCGATTATGAAACAGCATTTTTCTCTGAAGCCAGCCAGTCCGTTCGCTGGGCACTGGACCGACGGCCCTGCCCTCACTGGCAAGTCAATTTCGATCACTCATCATTAACATCTAGCAAAACGCGTCTGGAGAAAAGCGGCTCTCAATTCTGTGGGGCCTTCTGGGGGATTCTCCTTCTGCAGGAAGCCTGGGGAAGGCAGAACACCCGGGCAGAAGTCTGTCTCCCTGCGCTCCCGAACCCTCAGCACACACCCAGGGCCAGGACGGAAAACCCGAGCGAGGCAACACGCGTCGATAAACGCACTTTCAAGCCAGGATTTCGAGGAATCCTAAAGCACGGGATCCCCCCCACCCCGGACAGGCTGCAGAGGAGGGGGGCCGGCGCTGGCCATCTCATCCCTGCAAACGCGAGCGGCAGAGGACCGACCTGAAGACTGAGCACAACCCGCTACCTTCGGGACAGATGGTCACGCGCACCGGCGCCGGACTCCAGCGCCAAAAGCTGGGCGCAGGGCACTCGCTTAGATGTCAAAGTGGGGGAAACGGGGGCCGAAATACGCCCAAGTCAGGAACTCCGAGAAGTGTCCAAGTGTAATCGAACGATCGCCTCGGCCGCTCGGGTAACAGCGAGCTCAAGAGGACAAAGGGTCAGCGGTACAGACCAAGCCGCCCCCACACTGGGGGCCGTGGGAGGGGCGGGGCCGCAGCGGCCACCGGGAAGGAGAGTGCGCGAGCAGCGGTGTCCACCCCTCTTCTCCCCTCGGAAGATGCTGCCGCAGCCGACGGGCAGCCCGGCCACCCCGGAGCTCCCGGGGGGGGACCTGGCCACGGCAACCTCCACCCTCCGCAGAACGCGGAGCCCCCTCACCTGGGAGCCGCCGCCGCCCGGCAGCTGCGAGCAGCGCGGGGACCCGGGGGACACGTCCAAGTCACTCTCCTCTTCAGCCTCACCCGCGGCGCGAGGGAGGCTCCAAAGTCCGGGCGGCGGCCAGGGCTGCTCCATGTCCGGCTGCCTCCAGCCCGACAACCGCCACTGTCAACGGCCTCGGCGGGAGTGGACTCGGCGAGCGCGGACCCCGCCGCCCCAGCAGGCCAGAGCCGTTACCCAGAATCCCTGCGTGGGCTGCGGACGCCGACGCACGACCCGCGCCGGACTCTGGCGCGCCACCGGCGGGGAGCGGAAGGAGAGGCGCACTGGCGGTTCGTCACTTCCGGAGTGGGCGGGGCTGCGGGCGTGCCGTGACGCCTGCGTGGGCGGGGTGGCGGGCGTGTCACTGTGCCGTGGGCGTGGCGGTGGGCGTGCCGCGGTGGGCGTGCCGCGGCGCCTGCGTGGGCACGTAAGCGCGTGTCGGCTAGGCTTAGGTCTCTTATTAGAGGGCTTTTCTTTCTTAATTATGGTTTTTTGAGAGCAGGGCAGGCTGGAAACACTGAACGACACGTTATTCCCCGTGGCAGCTCATTTCTGTGCCATAAACCAGCAGTTCCGAGGCGGCCGATTTTGAAGGACGAGCTAACTAACTTCTATTTACAGTGTCCTGCAGCACGTGGCTGGGGCGCGCTGGTGGCTTAGTGCCTGACGTGCTGGTTGATTGACTAACTGAAGGCTAAGCGGAAGAAAGAGAAGTTGATTTCCTCCTGCTAATGAAGAGATTGAGATAGTTTAACAGTTTTCGTTTACTCGTTTCCACAGTCAGCACTCTTGGTAACAGCAGCCAGGAAATCAAGAGACGAATTGCGGTGGGAAAGTCAGCTGTGAGGGACCTCTCAAGAGTACTGAAGAGCAACGACGTCAGGCTGGAGACTAAGGTGCGCCTGATCCAGGCATCGGAGAGCTGGACAATGCCTAGGGATAATAGAGAATTGATTGATGCCTTTGAGCTGTGGTGCTGGAGAAGAGTGTTGAGGGTACCACGGACTGCTAGGAAAACAAACAGATTCATCCTGGAGAGGGTTAAACCAGGCGGCTCCTTGGAGGCATGGATTCTGAGGCTTCATCTGACATACTTTGGACGTGTTGTAAGGAGGGACTGGTCCTTGGAGAGGGACATCATGCTTGAGAGAGTGGAGGGACGGTGCAGGAGAGGAAGACCCTCAATGAGATGGATCCATCTGTGAGTGGAGTGGTGGGAATGAGTGCGTTTGAGACAGTGGGGTTGGCACAGGATAGAACTGCGTTTAAGGCTCTTGTACATAGGGTCGCTATGAGTCGCAAGCGACTCAATGGCACATAACAACAACCACAACAACAGTGGGTGTTTTTAATCTGCGGCCCTCAGGCCTGGTTTAAATTATTTTTGTCAAACATTCTTCTAGGTGGTTTAGCACTGGTGTGTGCATTGCTGTACAGAGGTAACTCATGGTTTCTGTGACTGTGATACTGATGTGCCAAATGCGTTAAAGGTTACCCTTGGTAGACAGTGTTTGGTGAAGCTTGCCGATTAAAACAAGCTTGGAAACAGGAGTGGCATCCCCTTTCGAAATGGTTTGCCTCTGGAAACTCTATGAACAGTGCTCAGGTCCTTCGTTCATAGGGTCGCTATGAGTCCTCTATGATTCCACGGCACCTAACAACAACAATATATATATAGCATCAGAGGGTCTCAAGCGCCGTGAGGTTTGCTGGCGCCAGAGATCGTGCAAAGCTGAAGGTGAATGCATATGTGGAGCCTCTTGTATTCTTTACCTCGCTTGCTCCAAAAAATCTGTCCCTATTGCCTTCATTTTTTTGAGAAGAAAATAGAGACCCACCTTGTCCGAAGTCACCTCGTCGTATATAAGAAGAGTTAGGTTTCAGTTCTGGGTTTTTGATGGCAGAACTGGCACCTTTAACAATCAAGTCTTGGTCCCCACTTACACTTTTCCCCTTTTTTAAAAGCCATAAAAACACAAACACTTGTTTGTTAATACCAAATGTTGGCAAGGTTTGAGGAAACACAGACAATGCCATTTGTGTATATTTTTGGAGGCGAAATGTGCCATTTTAAATGCTTATACCCTTTAAGCCAGCCCTTCCCCTGAGTTCATTATCTTAAAAGATTGTGCTTTTTAAAAAATTTGCACCAATAGCCAGAGTCATCTACAAAGATGTTTATTGCAGCACTTTTTGTGATTAAGAGGAAAAAAAACAGGAGACGGTCTAACTACCCAGGGAGAGATTGGTTGTTGCTGTTCTGAGGTGTCGTTGGGTGGGTTCTGGACCATTACCCTATGTGTGACAGAACAAAAAGAAACACTGCGTGACAGTGTGTCATCCTCAAAAATCATTTCCTTGTTTGGGCCATAATTTCACTGAGTCCCTGTGTCACTGCGTCTCACAGGGAATTCCTCATTCACTCACCTTCTACCAAGCACAGAGTCCTCCAGTGACAGGTCCCACCCGACAACACGCCCAAAGTAAAGGAGATGAGGTCTCAGCCTAGCTTCTGAGGAGCATTCTGGCTGCACTTGACAGATTGGATCATTCTTTGGCAGTCTATGGGTATGTTCAATATTCTTCACTAACCCTATAATTAACAGAATCATTTTTTCTCCAGATTTTAGAGAAGGCTCACTATAAAAAGAATTTCCTGGGCCTTGTAGGCGAGTTTGATCTACTGCAGTAATTTAGGTCATTTCATGTGATTGCTGATCATTTATTCTCAGGCTTTTCTCATAGACACTAAATGAACCACTCACTTTAGACACCCAACCTGCTGACATTAGGCTTACTAATGAGTAACTCACTAGTTCTGAGGATTATAGGATCTAAAACAGAAGACAGAGTCCAGGCATAAATTAATGGCTTAGGGAAAGGGTGTTGGAGAGGGAACGTCTTCTTTGCAGTCACTTGTTACTGTACCACTGCCTGTAAGAGACAGCTGATGCGAGTAAGGGAGTGGAAATGGAGTTCCCTGGGCGTACAAATGGTTCAGTGCTTAGCATCTCACTGAATGGTTGGTAGTTTGAATCATGGGATGACCGTGAGTTAGCATCAACTCAATATTAATTGTTGCCTTCAGCTATTTTGGCTATGAAGGTGTGAGAGACATGGGGGCTTCTCTCTTTATCTGTCTCTATATCAGATAATGTATCTGTCTCTTCTTTTTCTTCTCTGAGGGGAGGACACAGGGCTCACTAGAAACTGACCAGTGGTTTTCAAACCTGATCTGATCACCGTCCCTAGCCTGTTTAGACTCTGCTGGGGATTAGGAGGGAAGCATACATACATAAAGGAAAGGCTGCTGTCATTTCAGGGTGGTAAGGACCCCTGAGGTAGCCAGGGAGTACAAGTTAAAGATCTTGTACTTGAAGCAGAAGGGGTCTGCATAGATGGTGCCCAGTATAAGATGCAGACCAAAAAGCCACTTCCTTATCCTTCTTGTCTTTCTGGATTTATCTTTGTTTTATAGTATTCACTTGTTTTTCTCTTTGGACTAGGTACTCAAAAGCCTAACTTTTCTAGCAGCACTTAAAAACCCAATACATTCTGTTTACATTTCTAGCATCAGCACCTGTTTCTCCACACCTCTGCCATTAGTATCTGCTTGTTTTTCCACTTTCCTTCCTATATCACTTAAAAATAAGTGTTTACAAGTTAATGTCCTATATTTTTTTAACGAATATGGAAACCCGAGCCATAATTATCTGGTTGCCATACTTTTGTTCTTTGCTAACTCTTGGGAAAATTCCCATTTGGCAAGGATGCTGTTTTCCTGGCCACAGCCAGAATGTGCTAATGTACCATTTCTGCGGTGCCCCTGACACTGCTGGCCTCCTCATACTGTGGTGACACTTTGGGGCCAGAGTTTGTTCTTTGAGATTGGTTTTCTGCCCCTAAGAGGGACTTGTATAGGAAATAAAAGCAATCTTTTGAAACTGTCTATACGTGTCCTCCACAACAGTGGGAGCCTTGGTATCTCACTGCTTTGCAAGATGGACCAAAGTTTCTATGTGTCTAGCAGCTTTCTTACCTCCATGGCTGCCAGGAACCACAGGGTAGGCATGTGGGGAATTAACAGAGTATAGATATTTACTGTCTGTTCATTTAATGTCCCAAGTAGAGAAGCAGTGGTAGGTGCGTATTTCCAGTTTTAACTTTGTGTAACATGACTGCAGGAAATTCTGGTGGCTTAGTGGTAAGGAATTGCACTGCCAAACCAAAGGTCCACGACTCTAATTTAATACCAGCTGCTCCATGAGAGAAGGATGGGCAGGTACCGCATGGCTGTAGAGTTGATTCTGATTTATGAAAACTCTCTCTTGGGTTCCCAAAGCTATACAACTTGATGAGAACTGACGGCCTCATTTCTCTGCCATGAAGCAACTGGTAGATTCGAACGTTTGATCTTTCAGTTAGCAGCCCAAATATCTACTGTACCACCAGGGCTCCTTTTTAGAATCAGATAGGAGAGGATAAACATACAAATGAACAGAAATGAAAATGGCTCAAGAGCTGAAGACCAGAAGGCAGCAGTGCCCCAGAAGCCAAGCCAAGAGAGGAAGAGCATAGCATGGAGCACCAGGGCGATAGGGTTCGGTAGGATGTTGTCTTAGTTGTCTAGTGCTGCTGTACCAGAAATACAAAAATGTCATAAGTGAGCCCCCCTTTAGCAAACATTTCTATTCTCGCAGAAGTCTGAATCCAGAGGGAGCGTCTCTCCTCATTGGCTCTCGAGGGAAGTTCTTGTTTGTTCAGCTTTTCTTCTTGGCCTTCTCATGATCTTCATGTGATGCAGCGTCTCAGGCACAAACTCACACTCTCTGCCAGTCAGTTGCTTCCGACTTAGAAACGACCTTCCATCAGGTTTCTAAGGCTGTAAATATTTATGGGAGGAGAGTGTTCATTTTTCTCCTCAAAACCAACTGGTAGATTCGAACTGCAGATATTTTGGTTCAAAGTGCATCTCACAGCTGAGCTCCAGTATGGCATCTGTTGTTGTGTACAATGAGGTTGGAACTGACCCATAACAGACCCTCCAGTGGGTTTTCAGAGGCAGTAAATCACACGGGAATAAATCCACTGCCATGGTTTCCACTCTTGGCCACCCAGTATTGAGTTTCAGAGGCTGTAATCTACCATAAGAGACTTTCTTCTGAGGAGCAGCTGGTGGATTCAAACCACCAACCATTTGGTTAGCAACCTAAATTTGTATATGCTACATGATGGCTCCTAAAACCACTACCTTGGTTAGGATTTGCAACACATATTTTTGGAGGATACATTTCAGTTTAACATGCCTGTGTTCCAGGGCCATCGGTGAGGGAGGGCAGACACACTTATATTCACACGTGGCTACTTCTCATTGTAGTTGTGTGACCTTGGGCAGCGTGCTGTCTGGTTTCAGAGTCTGCATCAGTCAAAAAGGCAGGGTTGTTAGTTGGCTGTGACTCCATAAACAACAGACCTGACCGTGAACCCCCTCCTGCATCATCCTCATGATCTGTGCCATGTTCAAGGCCATTGCTAGAGTCACTGTATCAGGACATTGTGTTGAGTTTTCCTTTCTTTCATTGATCCTGCACCTTTCTCAGCATGATGCCTTTTTCCAAGGACCGGCTCCAGTTGATAACATGCCCCCCAAAGTATATGAGATGACGTTTCACCATCCCTGCCTCTCATGAGGTCATACTTCCTCCAAGCCAGATTTGTTTGATCCTTTGGTGGTCCACGATACAGTCAGTATTGTTCACCAACACCACAATTCAAAAGCATAAATTTTTCTTCAGTCCTCCTTATGCATTGTCCAACTCCCAGAGGCACAGGGAGTGACTGAAATACCATGGCTTGAATGAGGCACACCTCTTTTTAAAGTGACAGCAGATTTCCCCAATGTCTTTTTTTCTTTTCTTTTTTTCTTCATCCAGCCATTAGAGCTTGGAGCGATCACCTTGCAAATTCTGGAACCCATACAACAGGAGGGCTGCAGGAGTGCTATGTCTTCTGATTTGACTGCTGCTACCTTAGCTGTTAATTTTGAATCCAATTAAAATGGAACAGAGGTATTGGAGGAATTCCATTAATTAGCACCCACAATATGCTAGGACTCTGCAGGCCTCAGGAAAGATGGCTTCCTCTGTTCCATTGAGCATCTGGCCTCTATTATTTATTCATTGTAGCCGTCATCATCCTGGATATCTGAACATGAGCGTTGTTGACTTGCCTGTAAGTGGGCTGGAGGGCAAGATCTGCCCTGTCCCCATCAGGAGGGCACTGTTCTGGGTGCCTGCAAGTATCATAAACCTTCAAACTGGTGCTCAGGATGCTTGAGCAAGCCAGGCACCATCTGTGTGTCTGAGCCACTAGCCCACAAACCTACCACCAGGAACTGGTTAAGGACACAATAGACTCATTTTCATGATGCTGTAAGCCCTTTGCAGACAATGACAATCTAGTTGCCAAAACGAATAGCTAATTCTTATCTTGGGAGATTTTCCTGCAGTAATTTTAAAGTCATAGGTTTTTAATGCAAAAACAGTAGTGATAAATGACTCATCATTTTTTTTTGTCCCCAGAAAACAATTAATTTACCCTTTCATATTGGTGGGGTGGAGCCACTCTTCCTTCCTTTTCTTCACTTTTGTCCATTAAATAAGATGACTAGGGGGAAAAAATACGCAACTTCCTCGCCAGCTGCCTTTGCTGCTCTCCCGTCTGTTTTTTCAAGCATAACAGTGGCTTTGGCAACTACAGGAAGTACTGACAGGGAGGCATCGTGATTCAAAGCTTCCCTCCGATAAGCAAAACCCTGAAAGGCTGAAAGTGCCATCAAGAGAAAGACTAGCAAATATTTCTACGAGTGCTAAATTGTCAACCTCTGAAAATTACCCATCTATTTGTCATTTGCGCACCTGTTCAAGTTCTGACAGTGGCCAGTGCTTCTTCTATCCAATAGGATGTCGTGAGATTTAAAAAGGAGGAGCGTGCCCTTGGGAGCAAGGCTGCTTTTGTTATGTGCCATCAAGTCAATTATAACTCATAGTGGCCTGTGAACAACAGCTCTCTGAATGTTGCCCTATCCTGAGCCAACTTCACCATATCTGACACACCTGACTCCATTGCCAGGGTCACTTTGTCCGTCCGTCTCATCTTGTGTAAGAGTCAGAATTTCAACATCCTTGCTTCCAAGGAGCAGCATGGCTTCACCCTCTCTAGGCAGACCGATTTGTTTTCTTGGCAATCCATGGTATGTTCAGTACTTTCCCCATGATCTCTTTAGCACCATGACTTCTATCCATTCTTCTATCATGCTTAGTCATTGTCCAGCTCCCAGATGCCTAGCAAGCAATTGAGAAGACCATGGCCCCTGAGCAGGCTAATACTCGCTTAATCGGAATTGTTAGGATTTATTATGTTCCCAGAGCTTGAAGGGCCTTAAAGCTACTCAGAAGCAGTAGTACTTATCACAGCTGCGCTTAGATCCCACTTTCAGAACGGAAACTCAACATTGTAAGCTGATGGTTCAGTCTTAAAGGGAGTTAATGGAAAGGCTAAATGCAAAGGAAATAGAGCTCGGGGTTTTGGGACCCGGCGGGCCGGCCAGTCCTAGGTCAGTGTCCAGCAGGTCATGACCACCCAGCGTTCAGCGTGGAAGGCGGTGCTCCGTGTGTCCATGGCAACGTGACGCTCAGGCTTCTGGAAGCAGAGCCTCTGGTTGGGTTGGGGTGAGGCCTGTCCCAGTGGGAGGGACCCGGGCAGGGGCAGGGGACGGATGACGGTGCAAGGGGCGTGGGAGGCTGAGGAAGCTGCGGAGAACATTCACCTGAGGGACTGAGTCCACCGCAGCCAGGTCCGCCCCACACTCGGCTGGAAAGGATCTTTCATCCCATCTCTTCTGACTCGCAGGCAATGATGCCTCTGGAGGTGGTGGTGGAGCTGCAGATCCGGGCGGTAAGACAGGTGGACCAGCGTCCTCTCGGGACTCCTGGTCGCACCCTTTCCCCGGCTTCTGAGCCCTCCCCGCTGAGTACACACCCCTCCTTCCCCCCACCCCGGTCATCTGGACAGTCTGTCCCTAAGGCTATCTGTTTAGATCTTTTTGAACTTCCTTTAATTCATCTTGGCCTCAAATACCCCTCCTCCAACCCAAACATTAATGTTTCTTCTTTATCCTGATCCCCCCACCCCCCATATTAATTTCTTCCCTAGGGCAAGTATTTGTGACCGCTTTTCAGATTCCTTGTTGAATAACCAAGGAATAATTTAATCTTAAAAGGCCTCATCCCTTCTTGCTAACTTGCCATCTCTATGGACCAATTTGCCTGTCTTCCAAGCTTTACTCTCCTAGGAGTGGCCCTGGCCTTGGAGTTTTTCATCCATTCAGGACATGGTTCCTGAGTGGTGCTCAGCTGTACCTGTTTGGGCTCAGTCATTCCCGCTTTCAGCTTCTGTTTTCCCTTCTTTCCCTCCATCATTAAAGACAGACTGGCATGTGGCTAGAACTCAAGGCTGCAGGAGCTTCTCTTCCCGCCGTGATTTCAAGTACGGTGGCGACAGGGTATTGCCAGGAAACATCTGGTCAGCGTCCATAAGTTGCCCTTAAATTGATTCCTCCTCTCGGTGACCCTGTGTATCGGTATAAAACTGTGCTCCATAGTTCTCAGTGGTGGTTTCTGGAAGTAGATTGACAAGAGTTCCTTCCAGTGTGTTCCTGGGTGGATCTGAACCTCCGTCCTTTCTGTTAACACCACCTAGGGTCATGCTCCTTGCAAATGACAAGATGCATCATCACATGTGGCTCTGTAACAAAGCTGAACAGCATTTTCTGGTACTTTCTCACTTTGCTGACAAGCGAACAGAGCCAGCCTGGATCCTTGTGACAAAGGACAGTCTCAGCCCCGCCATTAAGATGTACAACCTTGGAGAACCACATTGCTCCACCCTCAGGTCATCAGGAGTTCGAACCAAAGCAACAGCAGTGAGCTTGTTTTTTTAGTATCAATGATAAATTCTCAAAATTGTGCCAGAGATAAAGTTCCTGCACCTGGCATGAAGGAGAAACTGATAAAACAGTCTTCACCAAAGTAAAAAGCAAACAACCCATTTTTGTTTCACTTCATTCAACATTATTATTATTTTATTTGACTTTTAAAAGGCATTCCTTCATAAACAGTTCACAAACAAATGTCTCCTGCTTTACAGTACTTGGAGGTTTTCCATAAAAGTGTCAGGTGAATTGAGCTGTGCTTTAAATGACGCAAAGTCAGGCCCTTGCAATTAAAACAGGCAATTCTAGGAGTATAACTGCAAACCAGAGGGTTAGCCTACTTTCAAGCCCCCGATATTCAGATTTATGAACTCTGCATGAGGAAACAACTCTGCTTCCAAATCTCGGCCTGAATATTGCTGCATTGAAGAGAATGGACCCCCAAACCCATTAAATAACAACCCACATACTTTTCTGCTTCACAGTTTGGCTGACTCAGCAAGCGTAGAGGTAGCTGGTGTCCAGGGTAGGGTGGGAATACTGATGACCATTAATTTTTTTTGAGGGGTTACCATTCTTCCAATGTGCCCCTCACACTGAAAGTTCACTCTTCCACCTGGTCAGAATCTGCTTGTCACGGCCATAATCCAGTCTCGCCAATACTTGTTTACAAATGAGTACAATATTTTTTTAAAAAAAATAATTCAAGTTATATACAGTTTTTGCAAACAGTGCAACCCATATGTCCTATTCAAGTTATATGTGCACACATTATTTACATGGATATGTAGCATGTGAAAAAAGAAGATAATCCTGACACCAGTTCTATAGGTAATTTATAGGTTAATTTTCTAGGTAGAGCAGCAATTATGGCGCAGTGTCATTCCTGGTGAAAGAATAATATGCTAAGTCCATCTTGCATTTGATAGTCTTTGGTCTTGTGATTCTGGGAGGCACTGTGGATGAACCACTTTAACTTAATGGTCAGTGAAAATGGAAATTTAGAATCATACCTGGTGCCTGGAATAGGAGCAGGTCATCTGATAAACTTAAAGTAAAATATAGTTGCCTAAAATGTGCTGTGATCAGGGAAACAAAATTCCATATGGAAAATAATATACAGGGTAGTCTGTATAGATGAGAAACCTTATACTCTTGCATGAAAGAAAAAAAAAAATTCCATTTTATGACCGTAACAAACCACGCGTTGCCACCATGGAGTTAGTTTGACTCTTGCAGACGTGATATCAGGGTGGAACTGTGCTCCTGAGGGTTTGCAGTGCTTGATTTTCAGAATTGCCACATCTTTCTTCAGAGCCATCTCTGGGTATATTCAAACCTCAGCTTTTCCGGTTAACATTAACAGCTTGGACTCCCCAGGACTCTGATTTCCCTGTACCATAAAACCAGGGGTCAGTCAGTCAGTCTGATTCCCGGAACCCCATGTTGTCAGAGAACTGGGGTTGCATAGTGTTTTTAATAGTTGCTTTTTCTGGAGTAGATCTGCAGGCCTTTTTTCTAATTCATTGAAAAAAAGAAAAACCACCTCAAAGAACTAAAAACCTATTGCCAGACTCTGTTTTGACTCCTTGCGACATTCCGTTGTGTTTCTGAGACTGCAGATGTATAAATCCTTGTGGGAGGGGATTGCCCGACTTTCTCTCCCAGAATCAGCCAGGGGACTTGAACTGCCCACCTGTAGGTTAGCAGCTTGATACATTAAATTCTTGAACATCAGGGCTCGGTAATTACCCCAGTAGAAGTAGAGAGGCATTATGGTCTCGTAGAACACCTCATCCACCTCATCCCTGTCATATGGGTGTACACACACACACACTCTCTCTCTCTCATTCACTGCAGCCAAGTAAATTCTGACTAATTAAAAGCCTCAAGGACTGTGTAGAACTGTCCCAGGATTTCTGGGGCTGTAAATCTTAACAAGCAGACTGCTAGATCTCCACTGGTGTGACTGGTGGGTTCAAACCACCAACCTTTTGGTTAGCAGCCCAGTGCTTAGTCCGCTGTACAACCAGGGCTTTTCCATGCTGGTCCACTGCTTATAAAGACAGGTTAGCCTTCCCCAGGCCTTTCAGTTCCACTGACTTGGCCCAGCTATTTAGCAGCTCCGCCTTCTGTTGTGCCATGCATTGCCCACATTCTTTCCTTTTCTAGAAGGCATCTTATGCGATATGTCCACTTTTCATGTTTCTTCTTGAAGCTCTTGTCTTGACCTCCCTCCAAATGACAGACAAGAGGGTAGAAAGGGCTGAGAAATAGCCATCTATCTAAAGCTCTTTCGAGAGTCTGGAGAGAAAGAAAAGTACCTTGGTACTCTTCTCAAAACCCCAATCAACAAAGACAGAAGCCACACTAATAGGGAAAAAAACCCCAAAACCCCAACAAGGCCCTACCATGAAGATGAGGATTAAGAAGAACTCTTTCTAACCCTGGCAACAGACCCTCAAGGAATGAACGAGAACTAATGTCTGAAATGCTCTTTCAAGCGGCCTTAGGACAAGGGCTAGGATTAGCACAGGGTTCAGCAGCATGTGCATTACAGAACGAAGATCACATTACTTTTTCACAGTTCAATTTACAAATGATATTTTGGCTTAGATGATTACCCAATGGACGTTTTACTGATGTCAACTTAGAAAACCAAAGCAGCAGTATTTATAATAATCCCCCAGCTTACTTTCTTTGCATACATAGTTGTGGAATAAATACAATAGGATACTGCTTATTTTTCTCAAATATGGCTGTTTAAAAATAGCCACAGTGCTTCAGCTAAACCATGTCAGTGTGGTGGGACCCTCCCAAATTCCAAAAGAAGCCTGAAATTCTCAGGGGCAAAGCGGAATGGCCACTGGCTCAAGTTGGCGCCGCCTAAGGTGGTCATCTCGGGATCTCTGCCTCGTCCACGCGGTGGTGTCACGACTGACTCCACAGTGCGAAGAGGACCGGAGCATTGTGGGGTGACAGCCAGCAGTAGTCCACGATGCTGTACTGCATGTAACCCAGGACGAAGCCAAAAGCCACGTCGGTGACGTTGTGCCGCCCCAGCATCACCCTGGAGAGGCCCAGGACGAAGGCCCACAGCACCGTCAGCACCCTCAGCGGAATGGCCAGCACCAGATGGTTCAGGATGAAGCGTGCTACCAGGGCGGCCCTGGTGGCGTGGCCCGAGGGGAAGGAGTACTTGTCCACGGAGAGGGTGAAAAACATGTCCATCTGGTTGTGCGCCGGCCGGCGCCGGCGGACCAGCCCTTTGAGGAGGGCCACCAGCAGCAGGTCGAGCATCAGGGCGAAGAGCAGGTTGGTGAGCACCTCGCGCCCAGCCCAACTGTCGCTCCGGGCCAGGCAGTAGAGGGTGCCCAGCAGCCAGGGGATGCCGTGGCCCGAGATCTCCAGCAGCTTCATCAGCGGCCGCACGCTGCCCCAGGCCGAGCGCTCCCCGGCGCACACGCCCAGCTTCTTGGACAGCCACAGGTCGATGGCCAGCAGGGAGCGCAGGGCGATGCCCAGGAAGGACGGGTTCAAGTTCATGCGGGCCTCGTCGGGCGGCGGGCCGGGCGGCGCGGGCACGGGGCCCGGGCCGGTCAGTGGGAAGGAGCCGCGCCGGTGCACAGGGCTCTCGGACGCGCGGAGCCGCGCGCAGGTGGGGTCGGTGCCGGGCGCGCGGCTGCCGAGCAGGGACTGGAACTCGAACCTGCCGCCGCCGCCGTGCGCAGGGCTGCTGTGCGCCGGGCTGCCCGGGCTGCTGTTGGCGGTGGGGGCGCCCAGCGCGCGGCCCTCGGCGCTCCTCCGGGGGCTCGGCATCGCAGTGACCCGGCCCGCTCCCGCCGCCTCCGGAGCTGCTTCCCGGCCCGGCAGCCTCTTCCGCTTCCGCACAGCCATCGCGGAGGGCGGGGAGACCGCGCGCCACCCGGACACCTGCGGGGACGTAGGCGGAGCCGGGAGGAGGGCGGGGAGGTGCTGCGCATCGGGGTGCATGGGCCAGAGGGGCGCGGGGGCGATCGGGCAGCGGCGGGGAAGCTGGGAGGCGTGCAGCCTTGGGGGCGGGGGTGGTGCACCTAGTAACACGAGTTTTCATGGAAGTTAACGACCCCACGGGACACAGTAGAACTGCCCCTTAGGCTGCCCAGGGATGAGCCCAGGTTGCCACATCTTTCACCTCTAGAGCGGCTGGTGGGTTGGAACTGCTGACCTTGGATTACATCCCAGTGTTTCACCACCGCACGACCAAGGCACGTTTACCCAGCTCAGTAGGTTCCCAACAGGATTGCCGCACACACTGTTCAGTGACCTTGCTTGCGCTTGACCAGCGTCCCTAACTGTGCTTCATCCCCTTGCAGTCCAGTGCTCGCCTTTCTCTGCCCCCTGATAAAATAGCCTCCTCTTTGCTTTCGAGTAATTGTTAAGGTTATTGGATTTAAAAAAAAAAAATCTAAAGTCTATCCTCTTTATTATTGCTGTTTGCTCTTTTTCTGGGTATGGCTTTTTTTTTTGGTACAAAAACTTTATTTTAAGAAAAAAGTACACAGAGACATTTGGTAGGACTACTACTTCTACTTCCAATACACTGATTACATTTCTCATATTGTGACACCATTCTATTTGTCTTTTCCCAAAATATTCCGCTACCATTAACAGAAAGTGTCCTGGTGGCACAGTGCTTAAGCATTGAGCTCCTCACCCAAAGATCAGCGGTTCAAGCCCAGGAGCTTGACAAAGGACAAATATGTGTCAGTCTGCTTCATAGCTTTGGAAACCCCATGGGACAGGTCTTTCTGACTTGCAGGGTTGGGTTCTTTCAGCTAACATGAACTCAGCCTTTCCTCCGACAAGAAAAATCTCCACCTCCTCCTTCCCGCCCTGGTGAAGCATGAATAATCTGTGTTTTGTATTTATTTGCTTATAGGTTATCTTATAGTATTTATTTATCCTTTTTGAGTTTTTATTTTATTTTTTTAATTTTTTTTTTTTTTTGTCTGTGTACCATCAAATGGGATCTGACTGGTACAGGAGGAGATTGCCCTTCCTCCACGAGCACAGCATCTGGTGGATTTGAACTGTTCACCTCTGGGATTGCAGTGCAGCTTCTTGCCACTAGGCCACCTTTTTGGTTTTTTTAAATGAAATTTTTTAAAGCAGTTTTAGACTTAGAGAAACACTGTGCAAAAAATTCAGAGTTCTCTGACACCATTGCTATTACTGGCTCCTGAAGGAGTATAACATACATTACTTACAATGGGTGAACTGATAGTGGTAAATTATTAGTTCAAGTCCACAGTTTACATTAGGGCTCCCTCTTAATTCTGCATAGTCTTAAGGCTCTTGGAAAATACACTTTGTTATGCATTTGCCTTTACAGGATCCTACAAAACAGTTTCAATGTCCTAAAAATGCCCCTGTCAACAGCTCTTTGTTCTCCCTCCCCCACCCTCAAAGTGCCTGGCAGCCTTTTACAGTTTCTATAGTCTTACTTTTTCTGCATTGCCATAAAGTCAGAAGGCTACAGTATATAGTGTCCCCCATCCCTCTATCCTCTTTCTCCAGATTGCCTTCTTTCTTTCAGCAATATACAACTGGTCTTTCTTTCTTTCTCAGGTTTCTTGCCCAGGGGTGTTCCTGCCAAGCAAGCGAGGTGTGTACCTGGGAGTCTACTTCCTGAATCAGTACCTGGAGACCGACTGTTTCCCCCCTGTGTTCCCCATTGTGATTCATCAGAACATGAAATTTGAAAAGGTGATCTTGACTTTCTCTCAGACGATCTGAAGATATAGTTTTTATAAAGTTATTTGGTAAAATTCCTTCATTTCCCCCACACAAGCCACTTTTAGCATCAGGCAAAACCTGTCTCTGCTTTTGCTTCTGGCCCTGAGCCAAGTTCTGCCAACCTAGTGCTAAATACCCTGGTGAATGTTTTCTATTCCTGGAACTCCCTTGGTGTTTTCTAACTGGAGCAGACAGTATTTCTGAATGTTCTTGGAGGTGTGAGAGGCAGCTGATTATATTAATGAAAGAGTTTATGCATCAGCTAACAGACTTTTGAGACAAAATCTTTTTAGACCCAGAAAAAAATTACCAAATTTGTTTTTATACACCTTAAGACTGAGATACTACGATAAAATAGGAAGACCTTCACGTGAGCTGAAATTCCTCTGTGCTGTGTGATAGATTTCATCCCAACAAATTTGATTGTGAAATGGTGAAGACATTATCAATTCTCCTCCTCCTTTAGTATTTGATAAATTATTCATTTGCTGACAAGCAGTCACTGGCAATCCCTTTGAGTTTTTTTTTGTTTGTTTTGGAAGTTGGAAGTGGAATCAATTTTAAATTCTTAAGTCTGAAGATTTTCTCCCAAAGGGTATCATGGAGATGGTCCTCTGGGGAGGAGGGTGAGCATGGAGGGCCCCGGGACAGAACACAGCACAATTTAAGGGTCTAGACGGTATCCAGACAGAGGGCTGTTGGTTTCAACCTGAGGATGAGAGGTGAGGGTGAGGATTGACTTCGTGGGATTTGTACAATATTTTCACAATATGTCACAGCCTGCTGATTTGAGTAGAGAGTAGACAAACTGGTTGGATAAGAGGAGAGAGCAACAAATCACTATTACTTTGGAACATAATGGCCAGAATCCAAGAGAACCCGCTTCTCCCAATTAGATGCTGGTAGTGGTGAAATTGTGTGGTAAAAATAAAGTTTGCAAAACAAAAAGCAAAAAAAAAACCAAAACAAAACAAAAAAAAATGAAGTTTGCCTCCTTTCCTCCAATAATGTCTCTATGTCATTATTAGTTTTAACAATTTTGAATTCACTTCTTTCTTTTTTTTTTTTTTAGAACATCTTAAATTTTTAATCCTTTCTTTACAGGTTACCTAGACCACTTTTGATTAAGAGAACTGTAGAAAGTTAGTAACTGTCACAAGCGGAGGCCAGGTGGTGGCACGGTCAATTCTCCAGAGAGTCCTGCTTTCCAGGGGTCTGAATACACTGCTGGGGTCTCTGCTCACACTCACTGGGTCAATCTCTGCAGATTTTAGTCCACTGGTTGCTTTTCCCCATAATTTCTTTGTAAACTCCTCAGTGTTCTTACAGAATTTTACGGTCCTTAGAGTGTTCTTCGGCTAGGTCGGCCCGGAGAGGGTGTTCAGGCTGGGGGTCGTTCACCAGTGCTATGAGGGACTGGATCACTTGGTCAGTCTTGGTGGCTGGCTTCCAGTTTTCAGCACTAATTACTGGGAGACAGACCTGACCCTTTTCATCGATGTTCGGGTGGTAGATCTTCGTTTTGAATGTGATCTTCGGTGGTTTGAATGGGTCCTCGGCTGGAAAGTTGATTTCGCTTCTGAAGGCCCCCTTATCATATGGAGGGGTTATCCTTCACCAGCCTCCTGCTGGCTGCCATCTTGGATCTGGTGCCTGAATTCACTTCTATGTTGTTGTTATTGTTGATTGCCGTCGAGTTGAGCACGACTCATAGCAACTCTATGAACAAAAGACCTTAAGCCTTTCTCTCTTTTTAAAAAAATTTTATTAATTTGTGTGTGTACTGTCAAATCAGACCTGACTGGTACAGGAGGAGATTGTCCCTCCTTCTATAGCAGAGCATCTGATGGATAAGACCTTAAGCCTTTCTATAACTATCGTTGTTTCTCAACGTTTGTAGAGTTACAGAGGCAACTTGTTTAGGAAGTGGATGCCACTCCTGTTTCCAAATATCTTAAACTCGGAGCTCCACCAGACACTGTCCACCATGGTTAACTGTTATGACATTTGATGTCGAAATAGAACAAGGTTCAGCATCACAGCAACCCCAGGTTACCTCAGTACAGCAAATTGACAGAGGAGTGCTGTACCACTTAGAAGAATGTTCCTCCAAAGTATAATAACAACCAACTTTTAAATACAAAACCCTGCTGCAAGCCCAAAGATGCATGGTTTGAATCCACTGGACGGGCATTCTCCTCCCTTGCCAGTAAGATCTGATTTGACGGTACACAACAATAAAAAGATAAAAGAACAAAACAAAACACAAAGGCCCTCCCCAAGGTCTTGCTGACTCTAAACAATAGGTTTAAATTAAAAAAACAACCCATGTAATACGTTGTTATGTGCCTGTGAACCATAAAGACCCTATGTACGGCAGCTCTGAACCCTCCCCTACCCTGAGCCAGTTTTACTAATTCCAACACACCAACCCCCATTGCCCCAGTTACTGTATCAATACATCTTACCCAGGGTCCTCTTCTCCTATGCTGTTGCTCCACCCTTCTGAGCATAATGTCACTCTCCTGGCCTTGTGCAGAAGAAAATTTAAAAAAATTTCAGATAAAAGTTCAAAGATCTAAAATTATGAACACATGAAGTGATCCAACTGTAAATGACCCTGGGGTCAACTCATGTACCTCTTTGACTCATAGAAGAAGAGAATAAACTTCAGTATCACTCATTAGCCATCTGAATGTAGCAATTCAGATTGAATGGTTATGGAGAGAGATAATACAGCCCTGATACATACCTTTCTTGATTTTTTTAAAATTTTTATTGTATTATTTTTACGTGTACCGTCAAATCAGATCTGACTGATACAGGAGGAGATTGCCCCCTCCAGCAGAGCATCTGGTGGATTTGAACCACGTACCTCTGGGATTGTAGTGCAGTGTCTTGCCACTAGGCCACCAGAGCTCCCTACCTTTCTTGATTTTTAAATCATACAGTGTCCCCTGCTCTGTTCAGTCAACAGTTTCTTGATCTTTGTCTAGCTTTTGTATGAGCATCATTAAATATTCTGGGATTCCCATTCTTCTCACTGTTAGTCATAGTTTGTTATGATGCACACAGTCGAATGCCTTTAAGGTGTGGTGTTATGGCAGAAAATGCGAGATCTAAATACTCAGCCAAGATTGGAGATTAACAAACCTTTTATTACACACAGATCAAGAACGTCAGCTATTGCCCAAACTGTTCTGACCCCAAGGGGAAGCAAAGATTGGATTTATGTACAGAGAATGAACCTGGGGGTTACATGAAGTTCACTGTATTTGCAACTGAGATTTCTTCCTATTCAGGAGTCATTATTGTTTCTGACTTCTCATGGGTGTCCAGGCCCCAGGTCAAGTACAAGATGTAGTCAGGGAGTGGTAGCCAAACTGGGTCAGCATGTACTGGGGAACATAAACCTTAGCAACACATATTATTGCCAATGTTATTGAAGCATGCATTTCTTAATATGACTGTCAGAACAAAATGGCTTCTCTAATGCTTAGCATTTAAGCTGATACTACAGTGGTGTTGGAAAAGAGTCCTGACTATCCCACGGGCTGCCAGAATGACAGATGTCTTGGAGAAGGTGCACCAGCGTGCTTGTTGAGGCAGGGATGGCAGAACTTCATCTGATAGGCTTTGGGCATGTTGCTAGGCAAGGCTCTTCCTTGGAAAGGAAATCATGCTAGGAAAAGTGGAAGGTTACTGAAAGAGAGGAAGAATCTCCATGAGGAACTGACACGGTGACTGTAGCAACAAGTTCAAGTATGTCAGAAATAATGACATTGGCCCAGGATAAGACAGGGTTCAGATCTGTTACTTGTAGGGTTGCTACGAGTTGCACTTGACTGGATGGCACAGAACAACAAGGTTATTGCCTTGGGGAAATCTGCTTTCAGGGACCTCTCCACGGTGCTGAAGAGCAAGTGTCATTTTACAGACTAAGCTGAGCCTGACCTGAAGCACCGTCTTCTCAGTTACTTGCTATGATGCAGCTGAGAGCTGGACAATAACTAAGGATGCCAGGAGACTCGAGGCCTTTGAGTTGTGTGGTTGGAGTAGAGTACTGAATGTCTCGTGGGCTGCCGAAAGAACAAATATGTCTTGGGAAAGGTGCAATCTGAGTGCTCCTTCGAAACATGGATTGTGAAACTTCCTCTGGGCATATTGTCAGGAAGGTCAGTCCTTAGAAAAGGACAACACTCTTGGGAAGTGGAGGGTGATTGAAGGAAGGAAAGACCCTCGTCCAGACGGACTGGCACAGTGATTACAGCAATGGGCTCAAGTATATCATAGATGAGGACGGGATAGGATAGGGCAGGGGTTAGATCTGTTGTTCATAAAGGTCGCTGTGAGTCATGGTCAATGTGATGGCACCCAATCACAACAAAGCTTTTCGGGAGGACACTGTCTCATCTTTCTCCCATGGAGTAGATCGTGGCTTAGAATTGCCCAATTTTCAGGCAACAATCTAACACATACCAATGAGGCCACCAGGGCTCCTCAGCCAAGGCTGTCGTTCTGAAGTGTGAAGTCGCCTCATCTCACAGCAACACGACGTGCGATGGAATGACGCACTGCCAGGTCCTGCTCTGTTGTTGCTGCCACTGTCAATCCATCTCATGGAAGATCTTTCCCTTTTTTTAGTTCTGGTAATTTAGTTGGTAAGGAGTTGTGCTGCCAACCCAAAGGCATAAAGTTCGAATCGATCAGCTGCTCCAAAAGGGAAAAGGATGGACAGTCTCCTCCCGTGTGATTTCCAGCCTCTGAAAACCCTCTGGAGGGTGAGCGATGTGTCAGCTCTCACTGGACACCAACGAACAAGAACAATGTGTCACCAAGCCTGAGGGCTCTCTCCAGGGACTGGCCCCTTCTAAGAACATCTACAGTGTGCAGATATATTCTCACTATGCTCGCTTCCAAGGAGCATTCTGGGGTGTTTTTTCTTCTTCTTCTTAATGTTAATGAACGTTTACAGAGACTTAGGGTTTCCAGTCATCCATTGTCGCACTTTTCTCACTGCCCATCCTCTCACACCCCATTCATTTTTCTCCTTGATAAGTAAAAGAAAAACTCTTTCATTGTTGTGCAATCTCCCCCCCACCCCCGCCCCTGCTCCAAGTCCACTGAACTGTGCAGCCATCATTCTGGACTCCTGTCATGACAATAATACCTGATCATATATCCCTTTTAAACCGTTCTCTTCTTACTGTGCTTTTTTCCAGGACAAAACTGATTGTTCTTTTGGGAGTCCACGGTATGTTCATTATTCTTCGCTAACACCTCAATTCTTCTTTGATCTTCTTTATTCATTGTCCAACGTTCACTCGTGTATAAAGTGGTTGAATATATTGTGACTTCAGCCACCCTGATCCTAATGTGACATCCTTGTTTTTTAGCACTTTTTTTACTCACCCGTCTTTTTTAGCACTTTAAAGAGAACTCTTGCAGCTCTTTGCCCGGTACATTATGTTGTTTCACATCTTGACTGCATGAGTGTTGATTATGGGTCCAAGTGAAATGGAATCCTCAGCAACTTAAATAATCTTTGCCAACACCGCAATTCAAAGGTCTTTAGTCTTCCTTTTTTCATTGTCCAGCTTTCGCATGCATTCTAAAGACATATAGATAAGAGAATTTCATTTAAGTTCTTTACAATATAACCACTTGCTTGGGAAGAAATCACTAAGTCGGTGAAGTACATTTAATGAATTTCTGTTGTATGAAGAGTATTTTTCTAGGCTCAAATAAGACTCTTCAAGGTCAATGGTCTGCTGATGAAGTGTTTAACTACGTGATAGTTTCAGCTACTTGTACTTCCTGTTTTTATTGCCTAGTTTTAGTATTTTATATCATCGTGTTAATTCCTATTTATTTATTCCATAGTCACTTGTTCAATCTTGAACTCTGTGTCTGGTATAGCTGCTATTGGCGAATCGCAACATATGCCGTGACTGTTCTTACACATACACTATTTATCTGGAAGAACATAATGTATAGTTTTTAGAAGTACTGATTGGTCCCACTTTTAAAATTCATTTCCAATTTTCCCTGCAGGTGTTTGAAAATGCAGTAGATCCTGGCGCTGTAGCAGATCTTTTAGAGGGTAGGCGCTCTGTACATAAATAGAAAATCTGCTGGGTGTAAGTCACGGGGATAAAATGCTTCTGTTTTCAAAACCATGGTATTTCCGTGTTCCAACCATTATCTGTGTTCAGGAAAGTCTGTGTAAAGTTTGAATCATGATTTTTGTTCTGCTTCAGACTCTTTGTATAGGCAGAGATGGTATTTGCTGGGTGGTGTAACTCCATTTACTTAAGTTTATTATTGTTAAAAAAATATATATTCATCATTGCTCCAGCTCTTCCTCGCTCTCTCTTCCTGCTCTCTGACAATGACTCACGTTTTCACTCTCTCTAGTTTTACCTTCCCAGAATGTCATAGAGTTGGACTTATGCTGTGTTTAACATTTTTTCAGTCTGGCTTTAGCTTAAAAACAAAAACATATTTGAAGTTTTAGAAGAGTGAATACGTTTAAATGACATTTGAGGCCAGTCTGTCTGTACAGACATAAAAGTAAGTAATGTGGGTTATAGCTGGGTGTTCTGGCTTTTGCGGCTGTGGACGAGTTGGAGATGGGCTCTGTGATTGATGTGGAACGCAGCTGCTTGCTGTCAACCCCTCCTCTCCCGTGTTCTGTTACAGAATTCATACGTTTAGTGAGAAGTGCCCCAAGGAGAGAGAGCAGGCTTAAAGCTAGAATTATGCAGCCTTCATTTGACAAAGGAATTCCCATAATATACATCAAATATCCTAACAGAAGGATCACATGAGCTTATGGGGCTGAGGCCAGTGACACCCTATGCCCTGTGTCATTTATAAGATGGAAAGATAAGTGTAGAACTCGCAGGCGCTAGTCCATGGTGGATTCCTGGAAAATGGTAGTGATTGAAATCCATCCAGAAGAGTCTTGGACAAATGGTCTGGTGATCTCCTTCTAGAAGACCAGAGCCATTGAAGATCCTTCGTGAAGTTCAAGAGTAGAAGGAAGGTTAAAGCAAGGGCTAAGAAATGGTCTCACGCCCTTCCTGGCTCTCTGAGCGGTACCATGGTGGTTGGCAAGAACAAGCACCTTATACAAGTGGCAGAAAAGGAGCCAAGAAGAAAGTGGTTGATTCAGTTTTAAGAAAGATCTGATGCAAAGGTTTCAGGTCTGTTCAGGATCAGAAGTACTGAGCAGACATCAGCACAAGACTCAAGGAACCAAGATTGGGTCTGATGGACTCAAGGGTCGTGCTTATGGAGTAAGCTTTGCTGATTTGCAAAACGATGAGGTTGCATTTAGAAATTCAGGCTAATTACTGAGGACGTGCAAGGCAAAGACTGCCTCACCAATTTCCACGGTGTGGATATTACTTGTGACCCAGTGTGCTTCATGGTCACAAAACAACAGGTCATGGTTGAAGTTCATGTTGATGTCAAGTCTGCCGATGGTTAGTTGCCACCTCTGTTTTGTTTTTAACAAAATGATGCGCCAAACAAATTTGGAAAACCTCCCATGCTCAGCACCAACAGGTCCACCAAATCAGGAAGAAAATGCTGGAGATCATGACCTGGGAGGTGCAGACAAATGACGGAAAAGAAGCGGCCAATGCATTGACTCCAGACAACATTGGGAGAGACAGAAAAGGCTTGCCTTCTCCATGACGTATTAGTTAGAAAGGTAAAAATGCTGAAGAAGCTCGGGTTTGAATTGGGCAAACTCTTGGAACTTCCTGGGGAAGGTAGTCACTCTGGAAAAGCCACTAGAGACGAGACAGGTACTAAAGCTGAACAAGCTGATGGCTGTGAGCCGCCAATTCAAGAATCTTTAAAATTGAGACTTTTAATAATGACCAAAAGAATTGTTATTTTGGGATAAACCCCCAGTGTCATAATCAAGCATCTCATTGTAAAATAGCAGCTCTTAGGGCAATGAATCAGAAGCTATTTTAAGAACTAGACAATAGGCCTTTAATCTTCAGAGAAACCCCAGGCCCCTGGAAATCACTGATGTTTTCCCTGTCTCTGTGGTTTGGCTTTTTCCGGAATATCACAGAATTGCAGTCTTACAATGAGCGATCTTTACAGACTTTCACTTACTCCTCTTTACAGGAGCAAACTGCCTTCTCTTTCTCCCTTGGAGAGGCTAGTGGATTTGAACCACTGCCTTTTTTTATTGACAGCCCAAGATGTAACACACTATGCCACCAGGTCTCTACACTGTGCTCCAGGGCTTTGATGAGGAGTAAGTGAGATGATCCACAGAGAATGGTTAGCGCAGAACCATTAGCTTCATAAATGCTGAACAAAAAAGCCCCTCAACTCACTTGCTATTGAATAGATTCTGCTTCATGGTAACCCTGTGTGTGCAGAGTGGAGATTTACTCTCTGGGGTGAGCTTTTCAGAGGCAGAGCCTGGCCTTTTATTCCTGAGGCACCTCAGGGTGGGCTCAAACCCCCAACCTCTCAGGTCGTATTTGAACATTTAGTCATTGTATACTCAGGACTCCAAACAAATCGCTGTCTTAAAGTACAGGAACCATCACTAGTGTGGCATTTATTGATGATTATTATTCACAGTAATGTAATTGGAATGGTACACAAATTTTAAACTTAGCATTAAAGGAAAATCCACAATCTTCTAAAGCACTAAACTTTCTTTTTTTCCACTTTACAGGCTTCTTAACCAGGATTGAGTTAGTACAGCTAGTGCCACCAGGTAATAAACCCTTAAACACATTTATAACCTAATTTAAGATTAACTGTAGAAGAACATTGGCATGGAAAACTGGAAGCTAATATTTTCCCCCTGACTTAATTTTTCCTATATATTTTGCATGTATTAATGTTACTATCCTTGACTATTTGGTGTCAGTATGCATAACTTAAATAGCATCTTACTATCCCCCTTTTTTAAAAAAAATGATTGTATACCTTTTGTTTAGTTACATAGGGTTTTCAGAGGCCTGCTATTTCAGAAGTGGATGGCCAATCCTTCTTCCTAGTCTGTCTCAATGTGAATGTTCAGATTTAGAGAAGTATTAGACAGACCAGCAAGTTAAAGGTATATCCCTTATTGCGGAGTTAACTTTAGTGTCAGTGTTGTCCCTGCCTTTCTCACATGCACCTTTA